GAGAAAAATGATCATGAACATGAGGATAATCACAAACTCTATCTTTCATTTTTTAGAGGAAAAACCTTCTCGTTGCAGCCCCATTCCCTTACAGCTTTCTCTTTAAAGATGGGATATGGTGGTTACACCGAGTGGGCTAAAAAACCTCTCCCATGATCAAAAACTAACTGTCCAGTACATGCACACGTACTTCAACCTTCTTTGACCTATTTACTAACTAAATTACATATTAACTAGACTAAACCATACGTAAATAACTTAACATAACTAAACAAGTTTACTCAACATAAATATATATAAATATATAGCTAACATGCATTGTGCACATTGTTGCATAGCTCTAAGCTGCTGTCAGAGTCTCAGAAACCTACGCCCTTAAATTGTGGGCCTGGCTGCTGTTGTAGGTCGCTGCCGCAGGTTCTCCCTCTGCTGCCGTCTACTCTTGCTCGTTCCCCTATTTTTTAAGGTCGCTACTTACTAGTTGCTCTCTTTTTTCTACTTAGATTTTGTTTGCTCATCTAGACAGCTGAACTCATTTATATCATTTGCAATGGAGCCAAAGACTCACTATTTTTTGGCTTGAGAATACGATGGAGTAAAGCAAAATGGCTCACTAAATTGTCTGCGTTTCTTTGTTATGGGTCATGCGGAAACAATCTCTCTGTGCTTTAGTATAGGGGTAAGACTGCGTACATCTGACCCCCTTACCCCACTGCTGGGTTATCTACTTGACGGGTATTCGGCGAGTACTTGGTGAGTACTCGCAACTCGTGCCCTTACCTTGCCTATTAGATACTAAGAATAAAGGACCGGGCCTATTAGAGTATTAATAAGAATAAAGTGTATAAGTTTAGTATAAATAGAAGATAGCAGGAAAGGGTTTAGAAGGCTGCTTTAGACTTTGTCATTTGAGACTTGGGAGGATCGAGAGCTAACCTCTTTCTTTGGGGGGCTTTGGCTCATTTGGGGGCTTCGGCCATACTCTCTCTCTATCGTTGTTACAATAGATTCTGTTCATCTTCAATAAAATTCTCAAATTGTTCTTGTTAATTTCTCTGTAACTTTACTGCTAACTTGGAGGATTCTATCATTGGTTGTAGTTGTGAATGGTTGGCACAAGGAAGAAAATGGAAGGGAGGATGACAGAAATCGAACGGAACGTCGAGCGAGGTCAGCAGGAATTAGGTGCGAAGATCAATACGAAGTACGAAGAATTGCTGGCGATGATGCAAGCTTGATTTGCCGAGTTGAAAAATCAAAAAACGGATCGATCAAGAAGTAGGTCGCATCGATCATCTGCATCGCTTCGCACTTCTTATCATCACCATTCACGTCACCATCATCGTTCACCTCACCATCATCGTTCGCGACAATCGGCAAGTTCAGAGGGATCGGAAAACAATTCCAACTATTCTCCACCACGTCGACATCAACACCACCATCATCACAGGGAACGTCATCATCATCATACAGGTAGAAAGACCGACTTACCTATTTTTAATGGAGAAGATGCTTCTGGATGGTTGGTTAGAATGAACCGATATTTCCGCTTGAATCAAACTGAAGAGGAACAGAAATTTGATGTTGCTGTAGTGGCCATGGAGGACCAAGCTCTCAGCTGGTTTCAATGGTGGGAGAGGCAGGCTACGCATCAAAACTGGGACTCTTTTACTCAAGCTTTGACCAAGCGATTTCAACCTGATCTGGTACAGGATCCACTAGGGCCTCTGTTTAGCCTGAAGCAGAAGGGGACAATTCAGGAGTACCGAGATAAATTTGAAAAGGCTATCGCTTCACAAGGCCACTTAACTGAAGAAGTCTTTCTTAAGGGATTGAAAAGAGATATAAGAGCAGAATCGAAGTTACATCGTACTAGAACGTTGGCAGAAGTTATGGATACTGCGTCCGCGATTGAAAACAAGAGTTCTGAAACCTTGTTTGTGAAGAATAAGGCTGAAGGAAAGAGGAAATGGCAGACTAAACCTATCATCCAGTCTTCAGGCCAGAAATGGGGAGATGAAAGCAGGAAGGAAGGTCCAAGCTTGTATCTAATGAGACAAGTCCCAGACTATCCCAAGAAGAACTATTAAACAGAAGCAAGAAAGGACTCTGTTTTAAATGTGGTGAAAATTGGGGAAGAGGACATGTCTGCAAGATGAGGAACTATAAAATGATCCCAGTGGAGAATTTGGAGGGTGAAGCTGATTCTGAAGTTGAATCACTGGAATCTGGCAGGGATAAGACCACACCTCTAGAATTGAAGACCATGCAGTTTTCTTTAAGTGATGAGAAAGACATAACCCCTGTGAAAATCTTTAAGGTGAAAGGTAAACTGGAATGGCATGAAGGTGAAAACACAGTAAATGTACTCATTGATGGAGGTGCTACACACAATTTTATGTCACTAAGCTTGGTGGAAAAGTGGAGGCTTCCTTATAATCCTTTTCAGGGGAATAGGGTGCAGTTAGGGAATGGAGAATGTATTCAAATTTGTGGCAGGTGTGCAGGTGTAGATCTGAATGTGCAAGGAATTGGTATTCATCAAACTTATTACTTATTGGAGCTGGGGAGCACGGATTTAGTCTTGGGAATGGACTGGCTAACAAGCTTGGGAGACACGGAGATTAACTTCCAAAGTCAGACCTTCAAATGGGAAGTACAAGGGCAGAAGTTGATTTTACAAGGAGATGACTCATCAAGTGAACAGGATGTTGAAGGAGGAAGTGTTCAACATGCTTGTCATGGCGAGGCTGCACCTTGGTCTTCCCAAAATCTGCAGGAATCAAAGTTTTGGATCAAATTTTCTGGCCTCTGTGGAACTATGCTATGAAATACATAGAGCGGAAGATGGAAGTAGTAAAGCAAAAGGTCCAACAGACAAATCGGTATTGGAGAGGGAGGGGTGCTAGGATGAAAGAAAAGAATAAGTTGGTGGCTGTGTCCTATCACCCACCTTGAGGGCAAGGTGGATGTTTAGGGGGGAGTATTGTTAGGGACCGGGCCTATTAGATACTAAGAATAAAGGACCGGGCCTATTAGAGTATTAATAAGAATAAAGTGTATAAGTTTAGTATAAATAGAAGATAGCAGGGAAGGGTTTAGAAGGCTGTTTTAGACTTTGTCATTTGGGACTTGGGAAGATCGAGAGCTAATCTCTTTCTTTGGGGGGCTTTGGCTCATTTGGGGGCTTCGGCCATACTCTCTCTCTATCGTTGTTACAGATTCTGTTCATCTTCAATAAAATTTTCAAATTGTTCTTGTTAATTTCTTTGTAACTTTACTGCTAACCTGGAGGATTCTATCAGTACTCGCAACTCATGCCCTTACCTTGCCGATTAGCAACTTAACTCGATCCGAGTTAATTTTCCGAGTTACTCTCCGAGTACTCGGCCAAGTTTTGCTACCCGGTCAACATCTCAAATCGGAGTTACTCGGTATTACTCGGTCTTTTTAAAATTGAAGCACTACCGTTAGAAATCCTAAATTAAAACCTAAGTTTAACGGAGTTCCCAAGTCTCCAACTGCAACATCGGCTCTCTTGGAGCTGCGCGACATCCGCTATCCCTTCAAGCTGCAACTGCGACATCGGCTTGTAACTCTTCTTTCTCTCGTATCTTCACCTCTTCACCTCTCGTTTCTTCTTCTTCATCTTCCCCTCTCTTAGTCGTGTATGTTCTTGCCTTCTTGGATACTTTTGGTTCTTGTATTCGGTAAGCTTTCATTCTTGGATAAGTAGTCTACTAGACTGCTTTTAGTATTCAATGCATGACTTCTTGGACTAAACTGATAAATACTTTTGAATAATATAAGTAGTCTAGTAGACATCCTGCTTTATGTTGGATTACTCCCTATAAATTCAATTTCAACAATAGACATTAAATTTTGATCACTTATAAAATTTAAATCCAGCAGAATAAAATTTAAAATTTGAAAACTTAGAATGTTTATGACTTTTGCTACTCCATTAGGATAATAGGATTTCTATCTTTTTATTCGTTTCTATGCTTTTTAAAACAATTTTAAGGCTATTTTAAGACTTATATTTCTATAATATCTAGCAACTATATTATTAAATTTAATTAATACAGGGCCGAGTAATCACCGTGTAATCCTGAGTAATCGGTCTTACTCACTACTCGGCCCTTGACAGAGTTACTACCGAGTTGCGAGTTAACTACCCCCACCGTAAGTGTGAGCTTTTGCGGCACTGAGGTAATGATAATGATGATGATATCTAGACAGCTGAAATCCATCTTTAACTTTTAGTGATGTACTACGTAGTTTTTTACTCCCCACTGTTTTATGTAAATTGAAGACTACTAAATCTTTTGATCTTTGTTCGTAAATATCTGCTATACTCTTGCCTTGTTTTACTGAGCATTACTAATTTAATGATGATTTTTTAAGAAATTGCCCTGAAGTTGGTTCCCCTAAAAAACTAACTAATGCCATACTGAAACAATACTACCATATATTGAGAGTTGAGACATTATGGTAAATTAAAAAGATGTCACTTTACTCCTATTTAGAGACAAAAAAACGTTGTAATGGTATTTTGGCAGACCACCCTGTTTTGCTCCTATTTTGTGAAATCCCCCGTTATAAAATTGTCATATGTTTCATTGCCTACTTTTTCTTTTATCTTGTTTCAGATTTTTACTTTTTTGATTTAAATTGTAATATGTAATGCTTTATATATTATTTTATTAAATATGATCCGGCTTGTCGGCTAGGTGGTTGCCCTAGGCTATAAGGCGGTCAGCTGGCAACACGTATAGCCGCTGTGATGACCTGTTATGTAGGTTTGTGACTTTGTGTATCTATGGGGATTATTTAATGGTCTGAGTTTCTTCTGCTAGTTAAAAGGCAATTTTGTCTCTATAGGATGATTTTCTCTAGTAAATTGGTCCCAAAATATCACCTTTTCTCAATCTTTAGGGATGGAATTGTACCATTTCCTTGTTTAATCTTATTATTCCCTCAAAATTTAATTTTTTCAGGAGGGAGTAAAAGGGAATGTTGAGCCTAAGCAAATATCCTATCCCAATTTATTGTAATGGCCATCATTATTATAGAATCAGCTTAGCTCCTTCCTATAGAAGCCCCATCTTTTTGGGTGCTTTCATCCCAAAGCACCTAAACCCATACAAGCATCTGTTATCATCTTCTTCTGGAATGTTCTCCAATGAAACTCAATCCTGTGTCCCCGTTTCGCCCAGAAGAGTCTCTATGAAAGCTCAAAAAACGCCTGACAGGTACTCCTTGCACTATTTCAATTTGATTTTGCTTTTATAAAGGCCTTCTCGTTTGAAAATTTTCAACAGTTTTATCATTACTGCAGGAGCAACAATTCAGTGGTCCCATCTGAAATGGTTGTTGGTATTCTAGGAGGAGGACAACTTGGGCGTATGTTGTGCCAAGCAGCATCACAAATGGCTATCAAAGTTATAATCTTGGACCCATTGGAGAACTGTCCCGCAAGTTCGTTGGCTCATCATCATGTGGTGGGAAGCTATGATGATAGTTCCGCTGTTGAAGAATTTGGGAAAAGGTTTATTCCACACAAGTTTGGTTTTTGTTTGTATTCAACAGCTTTCATTTGGATTCTTACTTGATGAATTCATATTTCAAGTTAGGTGTGATGTGCTAACTGTTGAGATTGAGCATGTTGATGCTGACACAATTGAGAAATTGGAGCAACAAGGTGTTGAATGTGAACCTAAAGCTTCTACAATCCGAATAATTCAGGTTTTATATTTTATAGATATGTGATGCACACAAATGACTCACTAAACCGTCTGTCCTTCTTTGTTATGAAGCAACAGCCAGTCCATGCAATTTTCGACGCGATTTTCACTATGGGTCATCCGGAAACAGTCTCTTTGTGCTTTAGTACAGGGGTAAGACTGCGTACATCCGACCCCCCTTACCCCACCGTAGGTGGGAGCCTTTGCGGCACTGGGGTAATGATGATGATGAATGATGATGATGTGATGCGCACAAACATTAATGTGTTTTACTTATTTTATTTTTATTGCATTTATTTCATTTGAACTTATTCTTTTTTTCACGATCTGGCTTCCTAGTCCTCTAGGACCTGTTCTCTTTGCCTGAAAAAATGTGATCAGGTTTGATCTTCTATATATATGGGATGTGCACAAATATTAATTCGATTCACTTTATTTTTATTTGCATTTATGTTGTTACTTAATTTTATTTGTTTTCACAATCTAGCACCTCTAGTTCTCTAGGACATCTTCTCTTCGCCTGAAAAAGTGTGATCTGTTTTGTTAAGCTCTAGTCTAGTCTAGTTATTGTCTGGTCTGATCAAATTATTTATGTTCTTATCTAATATTCATCTTTGAATATTTCTGGTCTAATTTGGTCTGAATTTTTCTGATCTGAGTATGGTTTGTGATCTAAACATTTCAATTCTAGTCAGAGATCAGATTAAATTCGGAATGCTTAAAATTAGAAGAAGCAAAAAATGGTGTGCATAACAACACCATAGACAATTGGAAGCTGCTGTGTCTGGGGAGGGCTTTAGATAAACATAATCTTTCATCTATGTATTTCTATGATATATATTACATTCCTAAAAAGAAATTACTTTTGGTTGCACACCTGCATGGATTAAGTGGGTCCTTTCAGACTTTTATATATTTTTTCATTTCATCATAACAGGATAAATATCTTCAGAAGGTCCACTTTTCAAAATATGCGATTCCGCTTTCTAACTTTATGCAGGTTAGTACTAATCTGATAGAAGATTAGGATCATTCCACCTAGTTTTCAAATATTTCTAGTAATAATGAGTGGTTCAAATGGAAAGAATTCAAAGAAAACTAATGTTTGATCATTTTTGGTTTATGGGTGAGACAGATAGATAATTTTGAAAGTGCTAAAAGAGCAGGTGACCTCTTTGGGTATCCACTAATGGTGAAGAGCAGGAGGCTTGCCTATGATGGGCGTGGCAATGCTGTAGCTAATAGTGAAGAGGATCTTTCTTCTGCTGTTAATGGTAATATACTTCAGTTTTAAGTGGGAATGAGACCTTACCGAACAAAAGATCTGACTTTGTAAAAAGCCAGACCTTCATGGTATGCTCAGATTCCAGAAAATGCTAGGGAAAGGAAAACAACTTTTAAGGAAATTTATATTCTTGTGTTTGGTTTTTCCTCGTATAATGCAGAGGAAGGTGAACTATGGTTAATGATTTAGAAACTTTACATATGTTTAGATTTCTTGGTCTTTATATAGTAGAAATAAATAAATAAATAAATAAATAAATAAGTAAATAAATTAAATGTGTTTGAACTTACATTTCAAACAAATATATTCAGTTATAACTAATCATCCACTACTCTCTTTTTGCTTCCATATTTGCCTTTAGTAAATAATTTAATCTTAATTTGAAGTTTTGAACTTCGTCCCCATTAATGAGAGAGAACAAAAAAGGGACATAAATCAGACCTTCAGTAGGACAAACAACATTAAGCTTAGGGGGTATTGGGTGGCGATGGTGCTTAGCAAATTATGTTCGAGGCAAATAAGAAGTATAAAAGGGCAACCAGTGCAAATTGGCTCCAAGAGTGTATAGGGGCAAGCCTTCCCTTGTCATTTTGACAAGAGGCTAACAAGACCTGAACTTGTGACACCTCAGTCACACAGCAGCACTGTAACCGGTGCGCCAAGGCTCCCATTTAGGAAAATAAGTAGCATACAAAAACAATATCTCTAGGATAATTTGAAAGCATTATTTTCTGAATAATGCTTCCTTGTTTTATACTGTGACGGATGTTTGTCCATTAGAGTTGAGAATTCCAAAGCTAAAATCTTCTCATTGTTGGTCTCTGTTTGTTTCTTTAATATGCTTGCATGTGTACTCGCAGCAACCAATGTTGAGGTGGAAGTGGGGCACATAGTCCAACATTTATTGTTAATATAGTATAACATTGAAAATGATTCCAATTTGCAGCTCTAGGAGGATATGGTCGTGGTTTATATATTGAAAAATGGGTGCCATTTGTGAAGGTTAGTATGTGCTATGTACCATTAAATTTAAGCATGCACTGATACACTTCTAAACATTCATTTCATTTTCATTTACCCCAGTGCCGCAAAGGCTCCCACCTATGGTGGGACACTTCTAAACATTATGCTACATATTTAACATCAATAACTTCAATATTGGTTAGACTATGGATTAGTTGTGCTCGATGGAAATTTCTGGTGTCATAATGGATGACAACTCTTTACTGTTGGACTTGATGATTCCCTTCAGTTCTTAAATTATTGATTTTATGTTCTCTGACTAAAATTACACGGAGTAGTAAATTGTAGTTACATAAACAAAAACCTTAATCCCTTGTTTAGCTCAAAAGAAGGGATAGGAGAAAATTTGAAGAATTATAAAAATGTTGTGTTTGGCTAATGGAGGAAATTAGTTTTAAAAGGCGTGAGGCGGCACAATGTGTTTTCGTTGATTTACCCGAGGCAGCGTGGCGGCACAATGCCGTGAATGCGTTTTCATTGATTTACCCGAGGCATGAGGCGGAGAGGCGCGTGCCTCAAGGATTTTAACCTCACATCTTTGATAAAATATATTTATACTACTTCAACATGAAGCACTCTTCTCAAAAAGTGATAACATCACAAAAATACTTTAAATTAGTAAACAATCTTAATAAACATCATAAGAGAAACCAAATATTTATTAAGTGTTGAAATATAAACTAGAATAATATTGAAGAGTGGAGGAAAGATTTTCTGTGTGTTTCATTGAAGGGTAAGGCCCTATAAATATAGATTACAAAGATAGAATATTCCTATAAAAGATGCTATACAATAATACTATATATGATATATTCCTAATATATTCTAAAGCATATTCTAAAGTATATTCTAATATACTTTCACACTCCCCCTCAAGTTGGAGCATAGATATTTATCATGCCCAACTTGTTACATAAATAACCAACCCGAATTCCATTTAGTGCTTTAGTGAACAAATCTCCAAGTTGTTCCCCAGTCTTCACATATCGTGTAGAGATAAATCCTTTTTGTATCTTCTCTCGAATAAAATGACAATCGACCTCAATATGCTTTGTTCTCTCATGAAATACATGATTGTTTGCTATGTGTATAGCAGTTTGGTTATCACATCACAATTTAGCAGGCATTGATGTCTTCAATCCGAGCTCGGTCAATAAATGGCTTATCCATATGATCTCACATGCAGATTGTGCCATAGCTCGATATTCTGATTCGGCACTCGAACGAGAGACCACATTCTGCTTCTTACTCTTCCAAGATACAAGATTACCACCAACAAAGACACAATAACCAGATGTAGATCTTCGATCATCTTTAGAACCGGCCCAATCAGCATCTGCAAAACATTCTATTCTCATGTGATTATGGTTTTGATAAACAATACCTCGTCCTGGTGCACCCTTTAAGTAACATAATATGTGTTCTACTGCAGCCCAATGATCAATTGTTGGAGATGACATGTATCACGACACTCACAGAATAAGCAATATCTGGACGGGTGACTGCGAGATAATTAAGCTTTCCAACCAGTCTTCTATATCTTTCTGGGTCTTCAAATGGTGTGCCTTCTTGAGTGAGTTGCACGTTGGGAACCATGGGTGTTGTACTTGGTTTTGCCCCTAATTTCCCTATCTCAGCTAGTAAGTCAAGTACATATTTACGTTGAGATAGAAATATGTCTTTCTTACTTCGTGTTACCTCAATTCCCAGAAAGTATTTCAAAGAGCCAAGATCTTTCGTCTGGAATTGACTATGCAGAAAATTCTTAAGGGTCAAAATACCTGCATTATCACTCCCTGTAATCACAATATCATCAACATACACCACAAGCAATGTGACACCTGATTCTGTTTGTTTGTAAAAGACAGAGTGATCTGATTTGCCTTTTATCATTCCAAATTGTTCAATTGATTGACTGAATTTCCCAAACCATGCACGAGGACTCTGTTTCAGACCGTAAAGAGATTTGCGAAGTCGACAAACTTTACCATACTCCCCCGAGCAACAAATCCCAGAGGTTGCTCAATATAGACTTCTTCCTTAAGGTCACCATGCAAAAATGCATTTTTAATGTCCAACTGATGTAAGTTCCAATCATGAGTTGCAGCGAGTGAAATAAGTAACCTGACAGATGTTAATTTAGCAACAAGAGAAAAAATGTCAGAATAATCAACACCATAGGTTTGAGCATAACCCTTCGCAACTAATCGGGCTCTCAACCGAGCAACAGATCCGTCTGGGTTAACCTTAACAGCAAAGACCCACTTACATCCAATAGATTTCTTCCCTGTAGGTAAGTCAACCAAATCCCAAGTACCATTAAGATCTAAAGCATTCATTTCCTCTACCATGGCTTGACGCCATTCAGGATGAGACAAAGCTTCTTTGACAGATTTGGGAACAGAAATAGAATCAATGGAAGCAATAAAAGAACATGAAGCAGGAGATAACTGATTGTACGACACAAATTAAGAAATAGGATGAGTACAAGACCGTGTACCTTTACGTAGTGCTATTGGGAGGTCAAGATCTGATGTGGAGACAAGATCTGAAGATGCAGGTACTGGGTTCAGGACATGAGATCGGAGTCGAACTAGTATCAGGAAAAGTAATCACAGGTATCACCGGTGGAGGGTGATCAGGTGCTTTGTGTCGACGGGTGTATACCAAATGTACGGGAGGCCTAGGGTCAGGAACAGTAACTTGTGGAATATTTGTCGAAAGTGTGGACTCGGGAATAGTCATCGTGTAACTGAGAATATCATCATTACTCTCATGAATATGTGCCTTATATGACGAAAAAGGTGTATTTTCATGAAATGATGCATCAATAGAAACAAGATACCGACCAGTACTCGGACAAAAACATCTATACCCCTTTTGGACTCGAGAATAACCCAAGAGAATACATTTTAATGATTTGAGATCTAACTTTGTTTGATGAGGATTAACATCTCTAACAAAACAAGTGCAACCAAATATTTTAGGTGGGATAGGAAAAAGCTCTCTGTTTGGTATGCGCAGTATTATAAAATATGAATTCTCTAGCAAAATGTACAAATATATTTGAGATATGTCCAACTCTTTACGACATCATTGCCAAAAGTCAAGTCACAAAACTCAATCTTAAAACTTCAAAACATAATTAACAAACTACGTAGTATTATATTAAAAATTGTTAATAATAAAAACTGTCTTATATATTTGTTAAATAAAAACAAATATTTATGTACCCTACTCGGCATGATTTAGGACAGACCGACATAAGTAGTAACTTTATATCTTTAAGGTAATAACATATAATCGTTTTTGGAAGAAAGAGGCTTAAATCGATATCACAACATTCAGATACGGAACAACCAAACAAAAGGACCACGCCCAACCGCCAGCCCTCGAACCAAATTTAGAGTCAATCACCTTTGAAAAAGCAATATGACTCGCTGATCCTGTAGTGGGCATAGCTGAGCCAGAGACGGTCAAAGCAAAGCAGACCTCTCATCACCCAATCCTAATGACAAAATGAGAAATAAAGTGCGAAAATAAAAACAGTGTGATCAAAGTGGATAGCATAATTAAACTACTGCTTCGTCCTTGAAATCACGAGGATCCTCCAAGCGTCTGACCAATCATGAGTCTTCTTTAGAATTCCCGGTGGGTCTGTTGTCCAGGAACCGCCTCCTCCCCATTTTTGGTGTATCCAGAGCCATGCCATCGCCACTTGGGTCTTCTTGCTCCTGCTCCTCCCATTGCCTCCTGCGTTTCTGGTCACCAAGCACCTCCTTTGCATTAGTTGAACCTCCGTCCACTGCTGTGGTCCCGTGATCAGTCATAGTAACTATCCAGCTCTGACTCTCTGCTTCCATTCCTCCATCACTGCTTTGCACAACATTCTGCTGCTTCATCCCCATACCTGCGAATGAAGGCCCTTTTGGCAATAACCACTTGTTTCCCCTCGAGGACGAGGCTTCCCTCTCCTGCTCTAAGCTCCACCCCATAAGTTTTTTCCAAAACTTTATTATCACACTCATATGTTAAAGGGCAAAAGGTGTCAGCATGGCCAATAACCCTGCAAACAAAGCAAAAACATGGAAGTTCTCGTGTTTGAAATCCACCCACTGACCAAATCCCTTTTCCTAAGAGTTGTACCTTTCTTCAGTGGCTTCCCCACTTCTATACAGACCTTGATTCGCATAGGCTTCTCAGTTACCTTCAAACTGACTCTCATCAAAATTAATAAATCCTCCTAGCTGTACCAAGATTCGTAAATCCATAAGGTACATGATGAACCTGGACCCAGAATTCTGCGTCATTCAGACTAACCTTAATGGGAATGCCCCCTCGGCCTAATTTCCTTAAGGATCAACAAATTCTGTTCAAACAACCACGGACCACTTTCTAACACACGTCGCATATCAACAATATGGTAAAAAGTGAACATGTACCTCTTTTTGTCGATCTCCTTGATTAACACACCTTTTCCGGGACGCCAAAGCGAGGTCATAAGGTCTTTGAAAATATGGATTTTTATCATCCGATTTGTGAGCAGTGTGCCTACCACCGGAAACACCGCCTGCTGCTCGTCTGCAATACCCTCTCGATCGGGAAGACATTCAAATGAATTCTTGAAAATAACTGCCCTTTTAACTGCGCAGTTATCTTCAAGAATTCATTTGTATGCCTTCCCGATTGAAGTTTTAGTTCAAATTTGATATGAGTAAACTAGACTTAATGAATAAGATTCTCAAAAAATTTCATCAAAAAATTCCACCGGGAGCCGCCCCAAACGGCGTCGGCCAGACAGAGCACCCTAAATATGGCCTTATTTGACATTTTTTTTCAAGTTTGAGGCCCTATCTGACCCTTATCCCAAATTTGAATATGTACTTAGTAAAGGACTTGTATGCTTAAGATGGCGTAAAAGCTTTATGAATGACTTAGGCTATGTTTGGCACAATGAGCTGTAGTCGGAGGCTAATGTCTGAATTAGAGGCTATTGTTTGAATCATTGACTATTATCGGGAGCTGAATTTTGAAATACTGGATCTGAACTGCAAGCTGAATGAAGTGGGTCTGTTTGGTAAAAAAAGCTGAAAAATGCCCGGATAATATGAAATTACCTTAAAGGGTATATAATTAAATAATACAATAGAATATTTATGACAATGATTTATATTTTAAAAAATACTCCATATTAATTAAGATTGTACGGAGTAATATATATATATATATATATATATATATATATTTAATATATGGGTGTGTGTTTATATGTATATACGGAGTAATATATTTCTAATATTTATATTTTTTTCAAGGAATTTAGTACGAGAGCTTCCCCTGTTGAGAAGAATTCATATGATCATATCATAAGCAATAATATATGATCATATCATATCATATCAATATAGCAACTCCTCAACTAGCATTACCGGGTTTTGCGAGCTATATGCAGGGAGAGAGAAGAACGGAAAGGACAACAAAGGAATTACAAGACGGACTGAATTGAGACGCTTGCTTCATCAACGTTTCAATTCGGTTCTTTTATTTCAGTTCCAGTTCATTCTAGTCATTCATCCAAACAACACTAATTAATGAGTAATTAGCTGAATTTAGAGTATTCCAGCCAATTATTAACTGAAATGGTCTCCCAACAATAGCCTTAGTACTTAAGTTGTCGCTTTCGTTTTCTTAAGAATCATGCCGCCACAAAGAAACCCTCATGCCACACCCACAAATGCGAAGCCGACTCAGGCTGTCCATCAAACAGCACAACTCATTGGTATTGTCGCCATTCAGAATGCGCAACCTCATCACAATGGGGAACGTTGCAATACGTGTAGCTCGGCGAAACCCGCCCAAATACCTAGGCGAAGAGGCCCCCTTGATCCTCGAAGATTGGATCCCGACGTTTGATAAGCTCTTCAAAGCGATTAACTGTCATATGAAGCAACGTGTCTACACCGCAGTGTACTATCTGCATCAGAAGGCCGATCACTGGTGCGTCACTATTCATAGGCGCTTCACGAGCAGTCGAGCTTTTCGTGGGAGGACTTCAAGGAGTCAATGCATGACCCATTTTACCCCGAACATGTGAAGGCACAAAAGTACGAGAAGTTTCTCTAGCTAATGAAAGATGAGACGACTTTTTAGGAATACCACACCAAATTCCTGGAGCTAGCTCGTTTTACATTTGCCTTAGTGCCCAATGAGACCAGCAACACTTGTAAATTCATTAACATGCTGAACTTTGGTACGCTGAAGGCTGTAGTTATTTCAAGGTACAAACCTTGAACGAAACCTACACCAAAGCTTTTGGTCACTATCAGGTGTAACAACTTGAGAGTGACGTTTAGAAGAGAAACCAAAAGAATGGACAAGAAAAGAGTAAGTCAAATGAGAATAAATTCAAACCTAACCCGTCTGGGCAACAACAAGAATGGAAGGGGGAGATGAAGGTTATGGGGGAAACAATAACCACATTCTATCCTCCTTAAAAGATGCCTTGTCCCAAAGTATAAGCGAAGAAGATAAGATAAATTATGAAGTATGATTCTACCCCCTTAAAAAAGGTTACGCCCCTGTAACTAGAATATTAATTTACTTAAACAACTCCACAGAACGTAATATGGATTATGATTTCGCAATGACAATACTTGATACTACGTCATTGGCATTTTCTTTGCTTGATTCATTACGTAAATACGTAATCAGAAGCTTGGCCAAACTTCTGAAACCCCTGATTATTCTTCCCACGTCCATCATCTCCCCCCTTCCATTCTTGTTGCCTTAAGTTTGAATTTCTTCTCATTTTATTTATTTTCTTCTTCTGCATTCTTTCGGTTCCTCTTCTGAACCTCCCACTCAAGTTGTTGCACCCGATAGTGACCAACAACTTTGGCGTAGACTTAACTCAAGGTTAAGTACCCTAAAACAATCACGGCCTTCTGCAATCAAAGTTCAGCTTGTTAATGAATTTACGAGCCTTGCTAGCCTCATCGGGCACAAAGGCAAATGCAAAACAAGCTAACTCTAGGAATTTGGTGTGGTATTCCTGGACAGTCATCTCATCTTGCCTTAGCTGGAGAAACTCCCCAGACTTTGCCGCCTTCACATGTTCAGGGTAAATTCAGTCATGCATTGCCTCCTCGAACTCCTCCCATGAAAAGTTCAGTTGCTCGCGAAGTGCCGACCTGACAGTGGCCCACCAATGATCGGCCTCCTGATTCAAACAGTACACTGCGGTGTCGACAAGTCACTCCATGCGGATCCAATTTTCGAGGATCAAGGGGTCCTCTTTGCATAGGTATTTGGGTGAGTTTTGCATAGCTACACGTTTTGCAACATTATCCCCATTGTGATGGGGTTGCGCATTCTCAAGCAATGAGCTGCACCATCTGCTTGATAGCCTGGATCAGCTCCGCATTTGTTGGTGTGATGTGAGGGTCTCTTCATGGTAGCATGATTCTTATGAAAGGGATAACTTAAGTACTAAGGCACTCATAAGGTTCCTACGATATCTTAAACATACAAGTCCTTTACCAAGTTCACATTCAAATTTAATAAATAGAGGCATTCAAAGATGCTATCATACTTCATATAGGCACAAATTTTCATGCATTTCACAACTCAATTGTACTGATCAATATTAAAGTCTTACAATCTCACCAGTTCCTAAAAAGGTCTTTTCCAATCATGTTCATTCTCCTTGTTTTGTGAAAACATTTTGAAAATCTCATTTTCCTGTAAGAGTACAAAGGTTTCTTCAAGGATTTTGAACATTCGAGTTTCAGCAAGGAGAAATTCCCAGGTAATTGAAGGAGTCACATTGTCACAACGGTCTCACATCATGCACAATTACCTTAGACTCCTATCGTATTGGTGATTGAATTTCCCATTACGGCTTATCACTCGTGTTCTAGTCCCTTCGAAAAAACCTAAGTCCCTTCGAACATCTAGCCTCGTTCCCAGGATTTATGGGTTAATCCGGTGCTTTTTTATTTTTAGTTGCTTGTTCTTTGTGTTTCTTCTACAGTAGAATACTCCCATGTGAGCAACTTAGAATTTCTGAGTGTACTTTTTCTTCTAGCAGTATGTGTACCTTACTACCTTATCTAATACTGCAAGTGGACAAATGTATGCATTTTTGGAGTGGAGTGTGGCTGAGTGGGGCAAAAGGAAATCTTATATATATATATATATATATATATATATGTAAATATGTAGTAATATATTATATTATATAGCAATAATAGCATATACATAGCATATACAGCTGAAGATGACTATGGCCAAACGCAAACATTTTTACTCTTAATTCCCAATTCCCATTAATATACCTTGTTTTGAATTAGTGCTTCAGGATTTCTATGCGATCGAGGTATGCCGATTAAACTGAAAGGTAAATTTTATCGTACAACAATTAGGCCGGCATTAATGTATGGTGTAGAGTCTTGGGCGGTGAAGCAATGCCAAATTCAAAAGTTGAGTGTGACAGAGATGCGTATGTTGCGTTGGATGTGTGGACATACCAGAAAAGACCGCCTGAGGAATGAGGTAATCAGACAAAAGGTGGGAGTAGCACCTATAGAAGATAAGATGCAGGAGTCTCGTTTGCGGTGGTTTGGGCATGTGCATAGAAGACCGAGTGATGCATCTGTTAGACGACTTGAGGGGTGGGGAGAAGAGTCAGAGAAGAGAGGAAGGGGAAGATCCAAACAGACTTGGATTAGAGTAATCAGAACTGATATGCGTCTTCTTGGGTTGGATGAGAGTATGGCTTTGGAGAGAGCAAAGTGGAGGACGCACATCCATGTGGACGATTGATGTCTTGTCTACCTTTCCTCTCTTGTTTCTTTTATCGTTTATCTTCCTTATCTTTTTATATTCTTATGTTATTTTTATCTTCTAGCTTTTTTATGCTCTTTTATTTATTTTTCTTTTATCTTGGTTATATTCTTGTGTTATTGTTATCTTATATTTATGTATCTTTATTTTATTCATTTTATCTTACTTTTTTTCCTTTTCTTGTCCGCCTTCTCTTTTTGGCATCGATATCATAGATCGATTCATGTTAGCCGACCCCAAATTCTTTTGGGATCAAGGCTTGGATGTTGTTGTTGTTGTTTTGAATTATTAATGGTTGGCTCCAATTCTAGGTAATATACAATTTAGTTAGTAATATTATGTATATTATATAAAATAAGTTACAAATTAAATATAGTTAAATAGAATATTATATATAATTATATATATTTATATTTATAATAATGTATATAACATATTATAAATTTATGTAATGTGCGACTAGTCGCCTAATTGTCGCCTAGGTGATATGGCGGTCTGCTAAATTGAGGGAGTGAGATATGAGGAGTGTGTAGGACTTCGTAGCTTATCCATTTTTTCATCCAACCAAGCACACATAATTCCTACACTCTCTCCCTCCAACCCCCCCACCAAACACACATTTGCCATTTTGCCTCTCTTGCTGTATAAAATAGCACACAAGTGACGTTTCTTGCTTATTGACTTGTTGTTTTTGCAAATCTTACAGTACATTCAAAGTCAATGTTTATTGAAGACTTCTATGATGTTTTTTTACATCAAAAGGAGATCTTTTTAATGATTGATACTGTCTAATTTCAGGAGCTATCTGTCATTGTTGCAAGAGGAAGGGACAAGTCTATCCTTCCCTATCCTGTGGTCGAAACAAAACATAGGCAATATATGCTAATTCCATGCTCATTCTTTTCATCGAGAAGCGATGAGTTATTAATTGAAAAATAATGTTTCCTTGTGCCTTATGATTTTTCTGCTGACAGGGATAATATTTGTCACATCGTGAAATCACCTGCTAATGTGTCATGGAAAGTTATGAACCTTGCTAATGATGTGGCCTGCAAAGTTGTTAGTTCGTTAGAAGGCGCCGGTGTTTTTGCTGTTGAGCTGTTTCTGACTGATGATGATCAGGTTGCCTAGATTGGCTATTGCGTTTATCGTTACTGCTATTTCAGTATATACTCCTGAAAAACCATTTCCTAATTTGAATAATTTTTGTAATCCCCAAAAAGTCATTTTTGAACAAATTAAGTATATTAAATTCAGCTACACCATCAAATAAATTTAAAAGTATAGCTAGAATTGATGATTTCTTGTAGTTGTACCTAACTAAAATTTAAAAACTATACTTGATGCAACATGACCCTTTCTTTCAGACGTTTTTTTAACATTTTAAAGCAATTGTTGTACGTAACTTGTCATTAGCTATCTCATCATGTCAAACCATGACAATCCTCAATATATGTTTGTGCCTTCCAGATTTTACTTAATGAAGTGGCTCCAAGACCTCATAATAGTGGACACCATACTATTGAGGCTTGCTTTACTTCACAATTTGAGCAGCATTTACGAGCTGTGGTTGGCCTTCCACTAGGTGATCCATCATTGAAAACATCTGCTGCCATCATGTACAATATACTAGGTGAAGATGAGGTTAGCTGCATTTAATTTCTTTTTCGGCATTTTTATTAGTGCTTAATGGGAAATCAATTTGATTTCTAATCACTGAGTGTACAAAACTAGTGTATTGTAACAAAAAAGGTATTTGTATTTCTTGTCACATCCAAGTAAAAGTCTAGATGAATATGTTATGACAGCTGAAAGGCTAAATAGCAGATGAAAGGTGAAGATGAAGTGCGGGTAGATGGAGATGAAATTCAAGATGAGTTGAGTACCTATGTTTGGTGTTAAGTGACAGATTAAAAATATAAAATGATAAAAATGTATAAGGTATGATAGTAAAAACAACGCCATTAAAAGGACATAGATGGAATGCAGTAGATCAAATGAAAAGCTAATCGATGAGCTCTTTGACCGAACAAAAACATCGTTTTTTAGTAAACGATAGATGAAATCACAATCTTTCATCTATATTTTGGCTTATCATGTGTATTTACTATGTAAACGAATAAAACATGATGGTAGTTTACAAGGTTAAACTTGTATGACCTATGTAGTGTTAGTAATTTTGATTGAAGAAGTGGTACAATTTAATAAAAATGTCCAGCTATCTTCTTTTGGATTATATACTGTGGGAAAACAGACTAAAAACTAATGCAAGCTTTTGTTTATCTTTCTTTAATTATCTGTTCAGAATGAACAAATTAGTGTTTCTAAAACCTTGAATTTGCGATCTAGGGAGAACCAGGCCTTGCTCTTGCTCATCAGCTTATTGGAAGGGCATTGGGAATTCCTGGAGCTTCTATTCATTGGTATGACAAACCAGGTTGGTTGAGTTGATATTTTCTACTTTTCCTCCCTAAACGGCATTCATATTATTTCACCATTTTTAGAAGGGAAATTGAACTGAATGCTTGTCATGACTGTAGAAATGCGAAAACAAAGAAAGATGGGTCACATCACGTTTGTGGGGCCCTCGATGAGCATCGTGGAAGCAAGACTAAGATCTGCACTTGGAGAAGATGTCAAGGATGGCCCGTCTTATGGTCAGTTATTCTAGTTGACTTGCACCTTCTGTTCTACCGATCCTTGAATTTGGCTCTCTTGTTAGTCAACCCTCTCTAGTAGGCTTTTCTTATATGGCTACTCAAAAGACTGCCAAAACCCCCACAAAAGGTGAACAAAAATGATCAAATTGAAATCAAACACAACTTACATGAGCAATTCAGTTTTGTTTAACCTGTCAAACTGAAAACAACCTGAACTGATGAACACCCCTATTCTTATTTCTATCTATTTGATAACAGCTTACTAATATACTTAATTATGCAGTTGCACCACGTGTCGGAATCATAATGGGGTCTGATTCAGATCTTCCTGTTATGAAGGAGGCTGCAAAGATACTTAAAGATTTTGATGTGCCCACAGAGGTGATCTTTCCATCAATCCATTACCTTGCATTATTTTAATTTCACCTCTCTGGTCAACCATCATATGTCCTAATGTCCCTAATATGGTAATAAAAGTTCATGAGTTGTTGCAGGTAAGAATAGTGTCCGCACATAGGACTCCTGAGATGATGTATTCTTATGCTCTGTCTGCATTAGGACGTGGCATTCATGTAATAATTGCTGGTGCTGGGGGTGCGGCCCACTTGCCTGGTCAGTGTATTCATCCACTAATGCAACACATTGCTAATCGTTGTGGTTATAAGCAAGTTTTTTCACCAACAATAATGCATGTATTGAGTTGGTTTTTGGATTGAACCCAGGCATGGTTGCTGCATTGACTCCATTGCCCGTCATCGGAGTTCCAGTACGAGCCTCTGCTCTGGATGGAATGGACTCTCTATTGTCCATTGTTCAGGTACTAACTTTTAAAGTTAAATTTGATCTCTCGATTCTTAGATGTGAAGTAGAATTTACAAGTGGAATGGGAAGTTTGTTCAACTTATATGCTATGTGTGAATTATGCCCAGATTTCAACGGTCGAATAATCTAATAATAATTGAAAGAATTAAAATAGTAGAAGAGAAATTCACCAATAACGTATACCGTGTATTAAGAATGATGAATCCATGAAGAACAATTACACAGTACTCGAAAAGGCTAGAGAGAGAATTTCTGATCAACGTGTTCTAATAGAATAATATGCGGAATGGATTGTGTAGAGACTTAACAGTTTTCGGCCATCTCAACCTGTATTTATAGGAGAGATATTCGAACTGCCCTATTACAATTAGAAAACAATAGCTTAGGCGTGTGGGCTTATTAGAGCACTTATAATTGGGACTAATTCTCTCTCAGCTAATCTAATTAAATACAAAGACTCATTAAATAAATTACAAATAAATTGAACACAATAAATAATTATTCTAACATTCTCCCCCTTTGTGTTCAATCTTTGATGAAGCACAAATTATATTTGAGTCTTTGATAATGACTTTCGATAGCCAAGGATGATTTCATAATGTCTGAGATATCTTCTGAATTATAGTCTGAATCTTATGGCTTCGACAAAGTCTGTAATGAGAGCAACTTGGATTGCGTCATCTGGATTCTTGGATTTTAGTAGCTCAATTGCAGCTTCTCCCAGATGGTCTTCAATTATTCTAAGTGTACCATCGCAGTACTTGTGAACTTCGCTCATGAGTAGACCTCGCTTGATGCCCTTGTAGTCTTTGTTGACGAGTCCTATCTCGGGTTCGGTTACGATGGTGCCTTCTTCAAAACTTTCAATCCATTTAGCTCTATTCCTTGGAGCATTCATGTTCACCTTTTTAAGGGTTTTTTCAATAGCCATTTGCAGATCAAAGAGAATAATATTTGACCTGTCTCATCATGAATCTCTTGAGTGCATTTAGCCCTAGGTCTTTGTCCTTCTGGGATAGATATGCAAAATTGACGAATCTGTACTCGTAGAATAACTGAATAAGATCTTCTTCAACAACGTAGTACAGATCAACTTCAGACGCTCTTTGGATCATCCCGTTCTGTCGTTCAAACACAAAGATCGAATAGAATGTTCTGCCAATGTTATGGATCTCTATTACTGTAATCCCTGTGATAGGTGAATCAGCATGCTTAGCCAATCTCTTTCGGTGTCCATATGGATCATTCTGATCTGCAGACATATTTTTCAGCATCCAAATGTGACCGGAGGCGTCTGTTCCTTTCAAATGTTCAAGTCCTCTTAGCAGAAGCTCGTCTATCTTCTTGATTCCTTTCTCACTTCTCCAAATTCGTGGTCTTAGATCTTCTTGTTAAGGCACGATTATCTGGACGTTCTCCCAAGGCGTTTCAAATTTTTCTTCTATATTGGAATCACTTGGGCGTCTCTTGATCAGATCTTTGACTATTTGAAAATCAGGAAGTGGATCGTCGTAGAATTCTCCTTGAGCATACTCTTCAGGTTCAAGTCCCATTAGCTTTTCAGCAACCGTCTTCTTAACTTCTCGAAAGAAATTCAGCTTCTTGAGAGCATCTGCGTTGTTCAACTTCTGAAGTTCATCTTTCTCATTGTCTTCTATCCATTCAAACAATATCAAATCATCAGCTTTCTCTTTGAGTTCATTTTTCTTTGACTTTGAAGCTTTCTTTCTTGATGATGATGATGATGGTTGATCAGATTGAGGGATTGCTGAAGTGGGAGTAGATCTAGGCTTTGCAACCTGTGGGATTTGTAAAGTGGAAACTGGAGGGACAGATGTGGGTAAAGTAACACCGGAGTCACAGAGACTTACCGTTTTCATCATATTAGAGGAGAGCTCGTTCTGATAGCCTGAAAACAATGGTGATTCATATGTTGCATTGTCAGGACTTCCTTCCGATCCTTGGTCAACATCCATGAAGGATGAGCCTATAGAAGTTCTCGAGAGGACACAAAGTCCTGGCTCAGTGTTAATGGGTTCAGAAGGGTGAAAAACGGTTAAGGCTAGTGAGTCGTTGGGTGCGGTCGAGGATGAAGGTTCAGGCTGAGAAGATGTGGATGGTTCAGAGCTAATGGAGGATGGGATGATTGATTTTGAAGTTGTTTGCTCACAAGTACGTTGCCTTTTCTCCCCCTCATGATGATCCGAATCATCGGTGTCATCATGTTTACGCTTAGGCAAGCATTCTTGATCACGGCAAGTGGTGGTAGGGATGAACGGTGGGGTAAGGGCTAGAATGTTTCGTGTGAGGTGAGGTGGGAGGATGGGTTCGGATAGGAGTTTATCAAGGAAATATTCAGATAAATCGAGAATGTTCATTTGGGTAGGGTCAGGGTGAGAGGTAGATGGTGCGGATGTGGATATGATGGTAGAGGGTGTAATGGTTAATGGAAGACTTCCTATGCAGGGAGTTGGGTGTGATCTTTGGTCTGCTACGCCTGTTGGGACTACAGGGCGTAGGTCTTGTAAAAGCGATAGTTTGAAAGCTAGAAGTTCAGACCTCAGACCCTCCCTAGTTAAACTAGCAAAGGAAGAAAAAGCTGACCTAAAAGAAGTATAAGTTGTCACAGGCTCACAGCATCACTAAGAATAGCGGTGCCATGGCCTGCTGGGGAGATCAATGTGACAGGACTTCCAACCGTCATTGACGTATCTCTGGTTGTTATGACAGGAGATAATAAGCCTGTATCAGTGTGTGCAGAAATAGAAGGTTGTGCCCTAGAAAATGATAAAAATTATGGGATTGTGGACACAAGACCTAACGTGCATTGGCTTGCAGTGTGGGGCGGTTCACTGATGGGTTCCCCTATTTGGGTTGAAACGACCATCTGTTGGGAGACGGTCGAGTGGTCTAAGCTTGGCTCATTTTGCGCTATTGAACTCGATGTAGCGACTTCTACTCGAGAACTGACAAGGTCAGAACCTGTACCTATGAGTTGAGTTCGGTTTATTTCAGTGACTGGTGATGATGAGACAATTAAAGCGCTTGAGGAGGAGACATCAGCTCTCTTGGATTGAGTCTCACCTGCCCTCTTCTTTGGTTTAGTCACTCTTGGACCCTTACTTTCGCTCGGCTTTGAAGTCCCTTGGGTAGACACAGTGGTGTTTGACTGCGTCGTAGGGAAAGAAGAGATACTAACCTTGTATTCCGCTACGTGTGGATCATTTGGAGCAGCAAGGTTGAGTAGAGCATCAGGAATTTGCATGGGCTGTATCTCAGGAGTGTTCTCAGAGTTCTTGAAGTGAATGAGTTGAGGAATGCTAGCAGCTCTGTCGTAGGCCTTGGTGGAATGCTCTGTCGTAGCACTTATAATTGGGCCTAATTCTCTCTCAGCTAATCTAATTAAATACAAAGACTCATTAAATAAATTACAAATAAATTGAACACAATAAATAATTATTCTAACATGCTATCCATTTATTCTTTCTCATCCTTCGCATTTTCGAAATATTTCTCACTTCAAGTAAAAATACTTCCTCTGTCCCAAAAATAGAAGTGTATGGTTTTCCAAAATAAAGCAAACATTTTTGTCCTAACTCCTAAGTAATAGCAAACGTTGAATAAAAACATAATCAAGAAAGGCCTAGTGTTGACATCTCGAGTCTCGATTATAGGCCACAAAAACCCCAGGAATGTTTCCGGGCTTCTGGCTATTAATTCCCCAATCTACATCATACGTTAACTACCAATTCTCAAGGTCAAGGGTTGTGTGAGCCTCAGGTTTGCGGATCAAGCATTTTTAAAAGAATGGTATTATCTAACCAAATGTTTTTCTTCTGCGTAACTTCCAGTATAGTCTCATTTAATATTATACTGTATGTAGGTAATGTAGCTCCTTCGGGGAGATTTGAAACTTTTGAAAACAAAAAGAGGATTTTCAAGTCATAGTTGTCTGTTTGCGGCACCGAGGTAATGATGATGATGATGATGATGATGATGATGATGAGTTGTCTGTTTATGCAGATGCCCAGAGGTGTCCCAGTTGCAACCGTTGCTATAAACAACGCAACAAATGCCGGTCTGCTAGCAGTGAGATTATTAGGGATCAGTGACATGAAACTGCAAGCAAGGTCAGCCTTCTTCTGTTCTTTCCAAAACCCTGCTGCTCCATTCTTTTTCTCCAGAAAATATGAACTTTTAGGCTATTTGTGAACCCATAAAATAGCAGGGAAAAGGAAGAAATATAAAAATGCCTAGGAAAATGATTTTTTAAGGTTTTATTTTATCTTGGAAAATGTCAAGGTAACTCAAATTTGATCCTAACTTAGATTTTTCATACATTTAAAGTTTTGGCATAACAACATCCAAGCCTTAATCCCAAAAGAGTTTGAGATTGGCTAACATGAATGGACAGGAAATCGGAGTTAAAAGGATAAAAAAGTTGAAAAGATAAGATAAAAAGGATAAGATAAAAAAGAAAGAATTAGAACCTAATTTATTTTCCCTTGCATTTTCTTCCCCTCCAAATTTGTCCTGACTTTCTTTCCCTAGCTGACCCTTAGGAGTGTGCAGGTTTCACTGGAGAGTATTTAAATACAAATACTTCTCTCCTATTGAAAATGAAAGGGGATGTCATATGTGTTTGGTGGGCTAAGTAGTGTTCAGATTCCCTTTTTGTAACCCAGAAAAAGTGCTACTTTGTACTCTATATTGCAAAAATATAAAATCCATTAGTAACTTAATTTCTGACATGAGTGCTCTCACATTGTAGAATGTCTCAATATCTAAAAGACCGACAAGAGGAGGTCTTGGTTAAAGCAGAGAGGCTAGAAAAAGGTGGCTGGGAAGAGTACTTGAATTCTTAGCAGGCAGGTGGGCAGATTACTGGTTTTGCTGGAACTTGAAGCGTTTGCAGGGAAGCCCAACGCCCCAAAGCACTTCCCTGCATTTCCTTCATGAAGTCCCCCTTTTTGTAGTTTAGATTTTACAGCCTCAACTTGTAAAATGCTTGTACTTTTACTCCTAGTGCTCGTCTGTTAGCTTGATTTTAATGAAAAATAGCCTTCTCAACTGTAATCAGCCAGTTTTTTTTATTTTTGTATTTTATTTTTTTGTAGACGGAAGCATCAATAGGATTTCCTATTTAATTTCAACTCAGTGCTTGGTTTGTACTTTGTAAGACCTTAACCCCATTTGAGATTTTGAGCTATAGTTCTCAGAACCTATGCATTTGATAATTAGCTTTAGCCCATTTCTTGCTAACTTATTGCATCAAAGTTGTGCTTTTTTACGTATATTTATCATGCTTTAAAGAGGAAGCGGTCCAGCTCAGTTAGGGGTGGACCTAGTTCTGGTCTGAAACAAAAAAATTGTCCAATTCGGTTCGGAAACCGACTTGTTTGGTCCCCAAATGGGTGAACCAGGACTGGGCCTGCTGGTTACCCGTCAAGTACTCGAACTTGAATCGGTACCAAATTTTCGGAAATTCGGACCCGGTCTTGTCCCACACAGATCAGATCAGATTTTGGATTGGGTTGGACCGCCAGATTGGGTCTACCCCTATGCTCAGTCGGTCGTTTACTCATTCTCTCGTACGGGAAGTCTTGGGTTCCAAACTTCATGGAGAGAGTTTCATCCCTGTTTACCTCGGGGCTCGGGCTCGGGCTCTCCTTCGACCACTTGGGCTAAAAAAATAAAAAATTGCCGTGCCTTAAAATGACGTCTTCAAAGACGATTGTATATACACGCCATCATTATATATCTAATGTCATTTAACCTAACTATAAATACAAGTCCACATTAGATTTACATCGGTCTTCATCTGTTCTCATGTGCCAGAAACAATCTTAATTCGAGTATTGATCCAAGACTTATGTTATATGATATTGTTAATTTACAGTATGCATATATGCACATATGTGAGAAATATGCTGATATGCATCCTATATCTAGTTTGAATATTCAAGAATAAAATGAATACAATTATGGGGACAGAATAGTTGTGAATAAAAAAATGTGATAATCTTGTGCTTGTTAGATAGAAAAGTCGTAATCACCGATCTTGAAAATTGAATCGTTAAATCAAATCATAAATCGTAAGATTTTACAAAACATATATTAATAATCAGATAATAAATAAATATTAAAATAAACAACAAGTTATTAATGCTAAGTCACCTCATTACTTAAAACAACACTTATGAGATCAAACACAAAAAATTTAAAGTATTTTTATAATGCACATGCAGCACATGGAACGGTTGAACAAATGATAAACATTAAACATATCTAAAACACAAAAATAGTTTACGGTTTAAACACTTATTTTATCACGTTCACAAATATTCATCTCACTACAAAATGATGGTGATGGTGATGGTGATGATAAAATAAGTTAAGATGTGAACTATATTTAAAAATGTAATAAAATCTTATTATTCCTAGCAAATAAAAAAATAAATTAAATTAATAAATTAAAAGGTGGTAATACTTGTCAGCGAGGTGAAGCCATTCAAGTTAAATTAAAGGAGACGCCAGCGCTGCCTCCAACTTGATGTCGTCGTCGTTGACTCGCCGTTACTTGTCACCATCGACGACCGACTTGCGACAGGAGGGACGAAGCTCGGATGGAGAAAGGTTGAAGTTGTTGTTCTGCATGCACGTGTTGTCATCGGCAGCCACATCTGTCTAAGCCGGTTGCTGTCGTCCGCTGAGTCTTCCACCCCATCTAAAAAAAATAGGATTTTTTTTGTATCTAATATGTCAGGTTGAATATAAAAATCTTATTATTATACTCCCTCTGTTCTTAAATAAGTGCAACAGTCAACGTTTCACATTTGTCGAGGCAAAACATTGACCGTTAATGTGTATATATATATATATATATTAGTAAAAAAAATTAAAAAATAGATTTTGAAAATTTACAATGAGATAAATTTAACAATATATTTTTTCAAAATATATTAATACATTAATAAATAAAACGACAAACCCGAAACCCTAAACCCGAAACCCCAAACCCCAAACCTGAAACTCTAAACCCGAAACTCCAAACTCGAAACTCAAAACCCGAAACCCCTTTCGTGTTATTTTCTTTTGGGAGTTATCCTGAAAACCCATCTGATTCCCCCCCCCCCCCCCCCCCCCCCCCCCCTTTTAGCCTTCTTTAATTTTATGTGTATAAATGCGGGGTTTTGACACAAATATAACTAAAAAATAGGTAGTGGACAAAAAAGAGACTTTTTTTCTTGATTTCCAAAAATGTTACTAATAAAGACTTTCTTTACTAATTTGCCCTTCGGAAGTCTGGAGCATCATACCAATGCAGCGCAGGGAACTTACTAAATGCACACCCTAACTATCACAACTAATGCCTCTTTTTAATTTAATAATATTCTGTTACAATGACCATAATATTATTGCCTCTTTTTAATTTAATAATATCCCGTTACAATGACTATAATATTATTACTCAGTATAATATTTTAATAAGTAGTATTGTTTCTAAAGACAAATATTAGGATATGAAAAAATGTGTGACAACTATCTCAAATGACCAACGACCCGATTATTACTACTCCCGCTCAAGTAACAATCGTCCCAATTATTATTGAGCTAGTGACATCGCCCCAGTTACTATCGTTCAAGTGACTACCGTCTCAGTTACTAGTACTCATTAGTGACCAAGAATCTATCCGTGACCAAAATGAAAGTTACAAAAAAAAACTTCTAGTGACCCGTCCCAGTTACAGTCATCCGATTCGTCAGTTACAGTTACCTGATTCTTCAGTTACCAAACCCGACTAGTTACAGTTATCGGACCCGAGTAATTACAGTTACTCGATTCGTTAGTTACAGTTACTCAATTCTTCAGATACAGTGACCAATGTGCTATAGTGACCTAATTAACCAATGCATTACAGTTACATGTGTCATAGTGACTATATTCCTAGTGACCGATGACACAATGACTATATACCCGGTTATCAATGCCACAATTACCAACAAATAATGACCCAGCTCCAGTGACATCCCGATTACATTGACATCTGCCCCCAGATCGCCCCGATCTCAATGACCAATCCGACTCCAGGGACCAACCCAATAGTGACATCCCGCCAATTACCACGGCCGCCTCGCCAATGCCCCATAATTCCCAACCAACCCCGCTACTACCCCAGCAGTCCAATCCAGTCCCACCCCCTACCCAACCAACCCTACCCCAGCCCCACCATAGTGACCTGTCGGCCAGTGACCTCATCGGCTAGTGACCACCTGCGATAACAACAATGTCTGCCGCCACTGGCGACAATGACCGCCGGCAACATCGAAGTGTACGGGTAAAGGGTTCCTTCACAGTGACGCCTGAGACTGATCGAGAGCATGCACGCCTGGAATTCACCGGAATTAGGCCGGAATAAGTGAATAATGCTGTCGACCACTAGGTCTAGCGACTGATCGAGAGCATGGGCGGAGCTAGGGGTGGGCCAACCTAGGCCATGGCCCACCTCAAATTTTAAAAATGGCTTAATTTTTAAGGTAAAAAATTTTGTCTAAATTTTTTTCTAAAAATATTCTTTGTACCGGACCAGCCCAGCCTAGTGCTCTGCCTCCGCCCCTGATCGAGAGCATTATTGTTTTTGGGTGACTGGCGTAACGGCTTTGCTATTGTGTATTTTGGGCTATAGCCATGTACTGAGCTTGTTGTTTTTTGTGGTTGTGGATAGTCAGACTCAAGTTTGACAAATAATTCATATGAATCGATTTTGTACACAGATTTCTAAAGGTAGTAAAGAGTCGAGTCTTCTGAGGTAATGTGTCCCTCCAAGATCACGAAGCTAGTTCCGCCACTGCATGTGCCTTTCAACCTTTTTCCGAAATAATATTAACACACATTGGTGAAAATTTTCCTTTCCTGAAGTAAGTAACTAGTGTGTGGAAACTTTTTGCATATCTGAATTTAGTTAAGAAAATTATGATTTCCTATTTTAATTTTTGACTTCTAAATAACCTTATTGTGCACCCTTGTCAATAAAATACTTCTTTAGATCTTAAGATATGCTTTTATCTGAAAAATAATCTCTTACTGCATTTCATAAGCAAGCTTCTAGCCACACTGATTCCAGATTACAACGTTTAACACTTCTAGCTACAGATTAAAATAAGTTGTGCTTTCATTTTAATTACTCCATACAATTTACTTATTTACCCAAGTATTTTATATATTATTTAACTAATATTTCTAATTGCAGCCTAACTTTTACTAAGAACAGCCTCACGTAAAAAATCCTAAATAAAATAATATGATAAATTTACATACTTGCCCTTTAGTTTGGATTTCGTCGATAAGATGAATCTCAGGACCCATTTGCTTTTGTGCAGGAAGTAGTATGGTTAATGGTGTCAAACACACTGGCCGATGCTTTTTCATGTCTAACTTTTAACAAATGGATAGTTGCAAAATGCTGTGCATATGGTCCTTCGGTCATTCTTCTCAACTTGGTCATCTGTAATCATGAATGTTCAAGCTAGAGCTAACTTAAATTCAGAAAAACCTTTCAAAACCAACTCCAAAGCTTTGGCCTAATTAATGACCCCATTTCCAACCCAGAAGACAAAGGAACGTGCGTGTCATGGCGAAGCAATCCCATCTTGCTCAAGCTAGACAAAATCGAACCCACAATTCAACAGTTAAACCAAGTTCAGCTCATTGTCTCTGGAATCTTTCAGCACCCCATGCCCTTGGGCAGGTTTGTGAAAAAGATATGTTCTTCGAAAGCCACACTTCCTGACGCTGCTAGGCTCTTTGGCTATATCGAACTTTATTTATTCACATAGTAACGATGTCAAACTTTGAGCAATGATTTTAGTCATTATATTTGTACGTAATTTATAAATTTTATACTTTTATGAAAATATTTCAATGAGGAATATTTTGATATAATTTTCATATTCTAAATAATTTCGTATTAAAATATATCATTAGTCAAAGTTGATTGTCATTGACCAAGAAAATCAATTTGACAAACCTTTTCGGGACGGAAGGAGTATATGATTTGCACGATCTGATAATGCATATTTTGGGATATTCCGTATGATATGCGCAAGTTATATGCAAGTTGAAGCTTCTGGGTTTGTTTAGTCTTGGTGTTAATCGGTTTCCTTATTATGTGTGAGTATATATATGGATAGTTAACATTTTCCTTAATATATGCAATACGCAGGTATAGTTAT